ACCCTATCTCTGGCGAGACAGTAGCCCAGTTCAGTACTGCTCTCGATACTCCCAGTCATCTCCAAAAGCGATCTAGGGTGCTACCTATCGTGCCAGGAGCTTCTGGCCGATCGCTCCACAAGCGCACAAGTTATTCACAGATTGAGGAGCTTCTCAATCTGGGCTCCGAAAAGTAAGCCCTTGTGCACACCTTCCTCTGACGATCGAAAAGCAGGGAGCTTCCTGCATTCGAAGCGTCATAGCACGAATCCCTGACAAACCATACACGCAAACAGCTGATCCGTCACAACAAGCCGGCCGAAAGCCCGCGCACTGTCACGTCCGCGCCGCGCCTACCGTGAACGCGCCGAATTCGGAGAACCGACCGCGAGCCGAGCGATTATACAATACATAGAAACCGCGCGTCTTTTCACCGTACCAACGGCGAAATTCCGAAAAATACTTGTAAATATTGTACATACAAAAAACCGCCGTCAGTCGGAACTGTAAATATAGACTTAGATATATATAAACTAAAGAGGCTCACGATATTTTATTTCTCTTACCGAATCCTGATCATATCCGACCGATGCTATCCTGCGAAACCCGATCTACGCGAAACTAGAGACATTTTAAATATGTTTTAAGAAATATAATTTTTATAGATTTATTTAAAATAAATCAAAAATCAATTTTATAAAAATAAAACTTCTTAATTTTAAAATTACAATATTTACTTAAGATATAAATTAATATTGGCACATGTACACATTTACATTATTTTTACATCTCGTTCTCTGAAAAATATATTTTACAAAAATTTCTTACAATCTTTGACTAGGAGCGGAAAACTCGATTATTTAAGAAAGATTAGAACGAGAAAATTTATTCCGGTGCTTAACCATACGGAACCGAATAACGGTTATTAATAAATCTACGTTTCAGCAATACCGGTGAGCATATCTTTGTTTCATCTCGCGTAACAACGTCGTGAAACGAACGCGAAACGCTGTGCGTCGAATTGCACTGAAATGTAGATTTAGCGATGGACCGGCTTCGTCTCGTCTTGTTCTTTCCTTTTCTATTAACATATTCTTAATATTACTAAAATTTATTAACCCGCTATTCGATGAATTTAAAGTAATACCCTTAATTTTACATGTTTCGTGTGTGCACCCCGACGGAGTACGAACAATGTACGTGTAGAATTTCGGACCACCGGAAATGAACGATTCGATGTAGCTACCGCGGCCGTAGCTCTCGAGCTTCTGTCATATCGCCCAGGAAATTCCCCGTACGCGGTTCATACTCATTCGGATTGCCGGTACTAACATATACACACGAATCCGTGTCGTAATATAAAACCCGTTTATTCAATAATTCTAAGTAACTGTACAATTTTAATCGTGCTTGCGCCGTTGTGTATGCCGCGATCACAACGTTCGTAAGCGGAGAATGCACGACCGCCTTTTTTCGGAGTCGCCACGAAACATATATTACCTCGTCGTTTACGGATAATATACCGGTTATCTCTTGCTTAGGACTTGTAAGCAAAGTCATAAATTGCTGGTGAGATTTTATAATTTCGGTATTCGGCAAATTGGATTGTTGGCCGAATTTTCCCCAAAATGAATTTAAACAAAGCTTAGCGACCGAACGTAAACCGGGATTGCACGATGTTTCGCCTGTCGAGTGTGATACCCTCGGTTTCTTCATATTCCCGAAGGTAACACTCCTTAGCATCATCGTCAGCGTTTTCCCTGTATTCGCTCGGCCAGCCGCTCGCTTCTTGTTTTAATTGCAAAAAAGTATTAATATATTCGGCAAACAGTCCGCCTTGACGAGTATCGCTATCGTATCGCGCGACTTTATATTCCCAAATTTCGCTCACATGCGTCACGAGATAACCCTTCTCGACGTCTCTGCGTAATTCACAAGATACTCAGGTACCCTCGAATTCTCGATCCACTGGATTCTCGTGAGTACACTCAACTTATGAGAACGTTTCGCAGCAACTCCGACATAACGCAAACAATAATTTACCTTGTACGCGATACAGTAGTACCGGATGAAAGAGATCACGTGGTGGGAGTACTTTACATCGCACGAGACCTTCGATCGAGTTGAAATTATAATTTGGTGATCCCCCGATTAATGAAGAACACTCTTGCCTTACGTAAATTTTAGGATGCCTGATCGGGAAAACCGGTTTTCAATACGAAAGGATACAGAGAACATACGTCGATGTAAACGTATTTTTTCCGTACCTGAAACTTCGTATCGCGTGACGATATTTCCCGTGCGTCCACCATAAAACACTTCGCGAGGATTTAGAGGAGTGTTCTTTATCGACGGATGATCCTTAAGAAAATTCTGCATTTCTCTATTATTCAAAATTTCTCGGTCGAAGGAGCATTCCCATTTCTCCATCACGTGGTAACCGCGTTTACGAAGGCGCCATGACATCGCGAGCGTCCGTTCGTAGCGCGCGTCGATCGTATCCCCGCGATTCGCAGACGAAAGCGTACTATCACGATTTACTTTAAAGCACGAAGGGCACCCATGCCAGAAACAATCGTGAAATTGTAGCACCTAGCATCCCATTTTCCGTAACCGTTTCGTAATATCCATCAACGGGCGTGCCATCGACTTTATATTCGCGGCCTCGCCCCGCGTGGATAATGGGATGTCCGAGTTCACGTTCCATCCATACCAGCCACTGTAGAACTTTGTGCGATTGCTTCTGTAATTGTCAACGTTTTTGGAACCGCCCGACGGAATGACTCCTATTTCCTCCTCACGCAAAAAGTTTTTACGAAAAACTCTCATGCATGTGGAAGCGATAGTCATACATTCCTCAAACGGACACGTGTTTCCACGTTCTAAAAATATTTTCCTAAAAACGATGCATGCTCGTTGGAGGATATCGTCGTTTCGACAATATCTGATAATTTCGCGTTGAAAGTCAAAAATATAATTTTCACGAACTATTTCCGCGTGCCATGCGTGGAACTTTTCGCGTTCTTCCGGCGACATGTGATCGGGAGAATAATATCTAGCATCAGGAATTGATTCTATATACGATTGGTTATCGATAGTATTAAATAAGTGCGGGAAACAGCCTTTATTCGATCCGATTATCGCTTAGACCAGAGGCCTTAGGTAAATCGGATAAAACGCATCGGCATATAATTAATGCTATCGATAAACTTCGTTTGTCCGACCGTCATTAAGACGATTTTTATTCCGTTCAAAATAACGCGTGATTCATGGGTGCTCTTCGGATTTTCTACAAAATATTTTAAGATAAATTGCGCGTCGAACGCTTTCGCATTATGCACGATACAAATAATTTGTTTGAAACATTTTGTCGTTCGCGTTGCGAAATCGACAAATTGTTTCACGGGGTCGAGACGGAATACGAACTTGCGCATTCCGCACCATCAGCATCGCACCGTCATGTCGTTTTCGTTTGCACATGCTACGCAAATTTGTTACGCTACGCAAAGAGTCGGTACATGAATTCTCACGTTTTCGGTACCTACGAGCGTCTCGTCTTGCCGCGTTTCAAAATCGTAAAATATAAACGCGACACGACTGTTTGTTTGTTCGTTCATCGCAACGTTATCATTTTCATGTTCACATACTTTTTTTTCTGCTCGCATTATCAGGGCACTTGTACCCTCGCCGGGATCACTAGCTTTACGAGCAAGAGGACGCATGAAACATAGAAGATTCGACGGTTGTAACGAACGATATGTTTTACAAAAGACCGTGTCGCATTTATGTACCGTGTTTGCACGTATAAATCGCCCGCAATCGCTACAAATTTTAACGAAATTACATATGCTCGCGCGAGATTTCCCGTTATATGATTTTTCCGCTCGGTGACGCTCGAAACAAGAATTACCGAAAAACGTACGATTACACGCTTCGCACCTAATTATTTCTCTATCACGATTTACGCACGGAAGTGAGGCGCGACAACGAGGGCATTTTTTTGTGCAACGATGTCCCTTATCGTTTCGAAAGCCCTCGTTGCACGTTTCGCAGTAACCACCGCGCGAACAGCCTGCAGCTCTTAAATTTAATATAGGGTTATAATAACGCGAATTCTCGTAATACATTATATTTAATGTATACGAAGGTTCGCGTCCGAGGGAGGCGAGTAATGTGCGACCGTCGTACCTCGGTTTTTCACCTCGGCCAAAACTACTAAAATTATAAATTATTATAGCGATATTTTCCGCGACGAGAAACCATTGAAAACGCTCGATTTCATTATATCCGCAATCTTCCTCGGGGATCACGATACCTGCGCTCCTCGTTAACTCAATCGCTAACTCACGCTGTAACGAAGAAGTCGCGTATCTTACCGATTCCCACCGTTCGTGCAATTCTCCCGTGCGCAGAGTACCACGTTCGCTAAATCCTCGCCGCGAGGGAGCGAGGAAGGCATAGATTGTCGGAATTTTTTATTTGTAAAATCGAGCGTTTCGCGACGCTTTCTCGCGTTACTTTATTTGATTCCCCTCGCCCCAAACGTATCGCTACGTTAAAAACGCGTATGGTGAAATCCATCGCGATATCGAAACTCCTGGCGCTTTGTGCTACCGAACTCACGAGTTTCCATATGTCCTCGTGAGTCAAGTCTCGCGCCGGACGAAACGAAAGACCTGCCGGGCCATGCGATAAATTTGTCGAATCGAAGGATAACCCCACGTAATCGCCCGGTCCGCTCAAACGTATCACATACGCGTGGATTTCGCGAAACGCGTTTTCTAAATAATTCACGATATCACTAGCACCTTCCGCGAGAGGACGTATCGCGAATGTCGCCTCCCTACCTAGTACTTTAAATTTTTGAAATTTACGTGAGTTTTCCGCCCATAATTCAATATAAGTGAAATTTTCACTGACCGTGTCGTTGTCGAGGACCGCGGCATCTTCGTCGGTTAACCGGTGCTCCTTCTGTTGCTGCTGCTGCTGCTGATGCTGCTGCTACTGTTGCTGATGTTGCTGTTGGTGATGCTATTGAAAATTCGTGGTTCTGAAGCCGGTGTAAATAACGATCTTCTTGTTCTTCTTCGCGTGAAATGCCTCCTCCTATTTATACTGAAAATGAGAAACAAAAAATATTAATGATGAATATTTTAATTATACTCGATTTTTATGTTAGCGAATAGATTCCAGCATACCGAAGGTACCTCTTACCTTGAGCAGCTTTCCTCTTCGCTTTTACAAAGCATTTATAGAGCGTATTAATCTAGCAAAAAAAACATTTAATTATAAATTTATCGGAAAGAATAAATTATCTTAAAATTTAAAAATAATATTAAATTTACTTTCATAATTTTCCGGAGAATAGCCCGTCCATGTTTCACACTGATGGAAAACCTTGATCTCTTCTTCTAAAAGCCCATCGCACATTTGCTCAAAGGCTCTTCTGCTGTTTTCATTTTTTTCGCCATTGTCTTTTTCTTCGTCATCGTCATCGTCATCTTCTTCTCCTTCTCTATCTTCTTGTCTTTCTTCGTCAACTTCTTCTCCTTCTTCATCTACATCTTCTTCTTATTCTTCTTCGTTTTCCTCCTCATTTTCTTCTTCTCCATATTCGGATTCATCCAGGTCGTTTGCTTGTACTAAAAAAAAGAAAGAAGTCGTTGTTATTATTATTATTATCTTTTTTTCAAGAATTAGCTAATACGAGTTTTATAACTTTTATTATTTTAAATAATTACTCACGCGGTGTGTAAATTTCGGTGTCGGCTTCACTCAGAGTCGACTCCTCATCGATATTTTCTTCCGCATCTGAAACAAAATTAAGCTTTTATTAATTGAATTCGATATTCAGTGAGATAATTTTGAAAGCAATATTTGCTATTTTCTTACCTGAAACTAGATCAACCGTTGAGATACCCTCCTCCTCAGGTTGCACGTCTATCCGCATTCGCACTCGTTCTAAAAATTCGATATTTTAATTTAAAAATCTGAAAATTTAGAAATCTAGATTTTCAATTATATCAATTTTCTATTATTTTACTCACGCTCGTTTACTCCTTCCGCCTCATCTTCGGTGGGGCGTCTCAATCCTCGTAGTTGGTACGGATGTATAACCGCGATGTTACCTCTCGCTTAAAAAATATGTAAATTTAGAATTTTTTATACCTACATATTCTAATTTCAATTACTTTAAAAATAAATATTTATCTCCTCCGGTGCATCTTGTAAAATAAATAAGCGATACGTCCGCCAGCATCATCCTCCCCCACGCCAGCCATTGCACCGGTTATATATTCTTTTACAATATTCAAAAGTCTTTTGTCCGCGAAATACCCTAATCTAAACATAATGCTCAATAGGGTTTTCGAGCACTCCAGTACGAATTTTGCAATTGATGTAATTTGTTTCTTCTTCATTTGTTAATAATGAAATATAAGCACTCGCGTTTATCGTCGGGTTGATATTCGCGCACACGATAAAAAATCTTCTTAATTTTTCACAGAGTGCCATTTTTTCACTCCTTCACTATTTTAGAATTAAGACAGCAAACGAATCGGCGCAGTAATGTAAAAACCGGCCAAGTCACCCCGAGAAAGTATAATCTCGGAAATAGACTTTTCTATAATTCCGCGCGGATTTATACTTTGAAAATCTTACTCGCACACTCCGAAAAGAGGGTGGCCCGCAGAAAATGCACCATTGGACAGGCCAAAATTCTTCTTAATACAGGTTACACCTTTTCTATTCTCTCATCTTTTCTTTTCTTTTCTATTTCTCTAGCTAAAACATAGCAAAAGAAAACAAACTCCTCACTCAAGAAACATCTCTAACTCCCTTATTTTGTAGTTTCTAGGTTTATTAAAAAATATTTTGCGAAGAAGTTTTAAAAATCTAGAAAATCTAAAGTTTAAAAGATTTTATAATTTTACAATTTAAAATTTAAAAATTTTTAAATCTTTTAAAATTTTTTAAATTTAAAAAATTTTTTAAGTTTTATAATTTTTTCATTTGCCCATCTGCGCGCGCAGTTCTTTTTTCTTAGTAGATAAGTCGATGAGCTCGACGAATTCGTCAGCCCTCGGTTCATTCGAGTGTCATCCTTCGAGGTTTCAACTTCGTAAATCCGAAGTAGTCTCTCATTTCGACGCTTGTGATTATTAGTTACATTTGAGAAGAAAACAGGAACAATGCCGAGCCGAAAAGCTGTTCTCGATACCGCGAGAAGCGTAATACTCCAGAACCGAGCAATGCCCCCGATTCCGAGAGGCGCAAGTACATCTGCGATATTCCGAAGGGAAATTGTAACGAGAAACGAAACGACAAGTTCCATATGATCTCTCGACAACATATGGACTCAACATTTCTCACACGAAAAGGATATACGTTGGATTGCAAAATGACAAACGAAGGAATTTTTGTGCCAATGGTTAAATTAACCGGTAATTATGCAGAATTTATTTCGACGCTGATTCCTGGCAACAATTTCTAAACAACATGGGGCTTATCGACGAGTATTTAACGCTAACAATAAATCGAGATCGGACCCTATCATTGTCAAAAATGTTGCGATCAACTTTACCTCCTCTTATGGGATACGGTCCATATTACTGGCGTATAAAGAAAATGAAGAGGCCACTATAGGAAATATCGAAATTCAACATCGAGGAACGACTACGGATTCGCAGCCACCGACGAAGAGGCGTAAAACCTATGCTGTCGCAATTGTGATGCAGAAGAGTACTTTTCACGGTTTGAAAAATATTGTGAAATGTGTCGACGTGCACTTAAAACATTTACAAAACGTGACCGATAATGTTAACAAATGCGCGCAATATCTTATAAAAGAAATAGAATTAACCTTCCAAAAAGTTACATAGATAGCGATATTGTAAAAACTCAGTTTGAAAGGAATTATC